GCAAAGTTTCATGCAGTCATGGGTCAGCTTCTAGAGTTTGTGATTGATTCATGATCTAATGCTGGGATTATGGGTGTTAGTGCCTAATCCGCCCTGGGGCAGACAGCCTGAAAATAACAAGAGGAAGAGCAAGAGGCCTGCTAGCCGCCCTTTGCTCTTTGCTGTTTTCTGCTTCCATGAATAACTGCCCTCTGCCATGTTCCACTCTGCCTTGGAACCTGCTGAGTATAGACTGAAACCTCCACAAACTGTGAGCTAAATAAACCTTTCCTTCCTTAATTTGAGGTGTTGAGTATTGTGTCCCAGCAATGAGACATAATAAGACATACATCATGTTCTTATGCTAAACCACAAAATTTTAAGGTGACCCAGAATTCATTTTAAAATGCAAATAAGTAATTTTCTTAATTTTCTTATATATTTCTGTATAAAACCTTACAATTAGGATTCCTATGAAAGTAAAAGCAAACCAATATTATTTTCTACTAACATAAATATGGCATTGTTAATGTGGCAATGAAGGAATTATCTGAGCAAGAAATGGCAAAGAAGAGTAGCATGTCCAGTACTACAGGCAGACCTTCTAACTGCTCCAGCAGTGTTTGTCCTTCCGTGTGTGCTTCCTGCACCTGGAAGATGGACATGAACCTAGAAGCATTTGCTGTTCACTCTGTCTCTTTTTATTCTCTTTCTGTTCTTTTTCTTTCTCTGACTAGGTCTCCTCTTCCTCACACTGTACTTTCACTTGTCCATTTATTTCAAGGAACCATTTCTTTCTTTTTAATATGGATATTTTTAATCAATTCCTGAGGAGTCAAAACCCACAAGGTCACCATTTCTTCTAGATCATGAGCCAAAAAGATGTCAACAGCAACCACTTGTACTAGCTTATTATTTATTTTTTTTTTTTCAGCTCATTTCCTGCTGACACAGCACTGGCCCTGTTAAAAATCTATGCCATCTTTCCCCATGACTGCCTGCTGTCTTTCTTTCTCAAACTTAACCCCATAGTGTCACTTTCCTCCACACTTAGCCCCATCTACACGGAATCTCTTGCCAACTTTTGGTAACCATAGTATGATCAAATTGACAGACAACCTCAAACTTGTGTAAATTGTCTACTACTTATTTATTTTTACACATCCTCAGTAAACTTCCCATTGTTTTCCATCAGCTCTTATCCAACTTTTTTGACTCTTCCAAATGTGAGCACCTTCTCTCTTCACTTTATAGTCAGAAAATGAAAAAGAAAAAAAAAAAAAAAAGGAGCGCAGCATTGCCAGAGCACTTGCTGTGTGCCATGAACTACGCCAGGTCATGTGTGTCATTATTTTATTTCACCCTCACAGCAAGGTTCCATGTTCGGCATTACTTTTTCCTCTTTTGTCAAGCTGGACAAGGACACTACTCTTACAGAGTCATTGATCAGCACAGGATCTCTCCTCTGAGGCTTGACAGAGTAGTGGCGCAAACTCAGTTTCTGGTCAGGGTTCATTCCTCCACATCACACTGCGGCTTTTTGAGTGGAGGTCTTTGGGAAGCCTGAGACTGCTCACTGTGGGCCTTTTCATCTTCTCTGTGGCCCCTAGCAGTGTGCTTACTTCTGTAACAGGAGAGCTTCGCACCATCCACACTTATTCTCTCCTTGCTGTCAGTTCCAGAAGAGCGAACACTTTTAAGTTTGACTATCTTCCTGTGGCATGGGTTCTGTTCCCTGCCCAACTCAAACAATTTTGGCCATTATTATTTCCTAGGATTTGGGCTTCATTGACTCTCCTCTGGCCACTTCTCTTCAGTCTACAGCCTTATTCAAGATTCAGGTGGAAGGGGGTTTCTTCTCTGAATGCCGTGCTACTCACCCTTAAGAGTTATCCTGTTCTTCATCTGTTTCCTTTTACTGTTAGATTACTTAAAGTAATACATGAATCCTCATTCTTTCTACTTTATGTTTATTTTTATCACAAATTGATTTGTCTTCTCAAAACTTTCTCTGTGTCTAAACAAAATCATGATTTTTCTAGTTTAACTTACTGACATGAAGAATTTTATGATTTAACTTGGAGCAATGAACCAGCCTTGCACTCTAGGGATGTATTATACATTTTGCATGTTATTTAATTTGATTTGCTACTATTTCATTGGGGATTTTTTTAATCTACATTCAGGAAAAATGATGGTCTGGTCTGCAGCTTTATTTTCTTATGCTACATTTGGTTTTCATATCAGATTCATTCTGGTAAAACTGTTAATAAGTTGTTGTTGTTGTTTTTGTTTTTGGTGGAACCAAGGATTGAATTCAGGCCCTTGTGCTTGCCAGGCAAGCATTTATTCTACTGAGCCATCTCCCTGGACCCTCCTGTTTTATTTTGTGGAAGAGTTTACATGTTATTTTTTTTTCTACCAGGGATCAAACTCAGGACCTTGCACCTGCCATGCCGGTGCTGTGCCACTGAGTTATGTCTCCAGTCCGAGTTTAGGTACAATTTTTCTTCCTTAAATGTTCAGTGGAATTTCTAATGATGTTTCCTGATCTTGTGCTTTCTTTTTTATAATTTTAATTATAAATTTATGTTGCATAATTAATAAAATTAAGATTATTTATTCTCCAGTAAGAAGCTTTGATGTCTGTCAAGAAATAGATGCATTAAATCTAAATTCTTATTATTTAGAAAAACCAGTTGTTATTATTTTTAACATGAGTAGGTTTCATAACAATACCCCCTTTTCAATTTTGATGTTTTGATTTGTTGGTTGGTTGGTTTTTTGGTTTGCTTGTTTTGAGTACTGGGGATCAGACTCAGGACCCTGCACTTGCCTGGCAAGCACTAATGCCACTGAGCTATCTCTCCAGCCTCTGACATTTTGATCTCTCTCT